GGGCCATCTCGGGGGCTGACCTACCACAACTGACATGGAATAATTTTTAATATACACTTAAGGAAAAAAGCAATGTAGGAAACAGAACATATTATGAACCCATCCCAGGCAGGCAGGGCTGGTGGGAAATTTGGTGTGAGACGTTATTGGGCCTCTGCTAGAGCTGTGCAAAGTTCAGGGGGCATGTAACAAAGTTCTAAGGCACCAAGGGTTCCCTCCAACGTGCAGGTAAATTGACTACTCACATAAAGAAATAAAACCACAAGTGTAAATACCATGTTATGGTTACCATGTTGCCAGCTTCCATTTTTCAACAGAACCTGGAAACCCAGATTTTGATGTAAAATCTTCTGATGTTTAAAGATGGGAAAGTAACTCAAAAATAAATTTGTTTTTGAGATTCATTCATGTTGAGGCATGTACCTCATTCCTTTCTGTGAACGAATAGTATTCCATTTTATGGATACACCACATTTGGTCCGTCCATCCCTCTGCTGATGGACATTTGGGCTGTTGTGAATAGCGCTGCCAGGAACACTTGTGTGCAAGTATTTGTCTGAATGTCTGTTTTCATATGAAACATCCAGAATAGATAAATCCATAGAGACAGAAATCAGATGACTGGTTTTCAGGGGTGGGAGAAGGGGAAAATGGGGAGTAACTGTTTGATGGGTGTGGGATTTCCTTTTTGGGGTGAGGAAAATGTCTTGGAACTAGTTAGAGGTGATGGTTGCACAACCTTGAGGATGTACTAGATGCCACTGGATTGTTCACTTAGAGTGGTCAGTGGTTAATTTTATGTTATGTGAATTTTACCTCAATGAAATAAATAATTTTGTAAACATTGTGAAGGCTATCAAAACATGTGTGTGAGTCTTATCTGGCCCTCTGGCTATGAGTCTGAATCCTCTTCTTTGGCCTTAAAAAAAAAGACAAACTGGGGCCAGCCTGGTGGCTTAGTGGTTCAATTCAGGCATTCCATTTCAGAGGCCTGGGGTTTGCAGGTTCGGATCCTGGGTGTGGACCTAGCACCCCTTGTCAAGCCACACTGTGGCAGCACCCCACATAAAATAGAGGAAGGTTGGCAAAGATGTTAGCTCAGGGCCAATCTTCCTCACCAAAAAAAAAAAAAAAAAAGACATACATTACACAGGAAAATATGTACGGTAAGATTCCATTTACATGAACTTCAAAAATATGCAAAATGTAACAACATTTTTTTAAAAGATTAGAATTATAGTTTGCAAAACTAGAAGGAAAAGCAAGGGGATGATTTCTTTAAAATTCAGGTTGGTGGTTGATTATCTGTGAGTGTTGGGCGTGGTGGGGATGGTTCCAGCAAGGATCAGACCAGTAGCTTCCAAGATCCCAGCTCCGTTTCTTATACTACGTTCCGAGAAAATGAGAGTTTTTAAATTTTAGTTCTTTAATTGGGATGTTAGAGTTTTACACACTCTTTTGCATATATGAGGCATTTCCCATTTAAAAATAAATGTTTGTTGGGTTTTTAAAAGACACATTTGGATGTAAGGTGAAAAGTTAACAACAGATGAAGCTGAGAAAAGAGCATGCGGGTCTTCTGCAAATTATTTAGCTTCTTGCAACTTCTCTGAAGTTTGAAATTATGTTCAAAAAAGTTTTAAAATGTGCACAAAAAAGACAGGAAGGGCTGTGGATTTCAAGAAGCTTCTATTTTCCTTCACTTGAAAAAATATGATGATGAGATGCAATTAATGCTTTGAGAAATCATCCCGTAGTATTTTGTGATTCCCATTATTCATCTTTGAGGGGGTCTCTATTTCCTTTTCCCACTTTTAGGGAATTCATGAAGACCCCCCAGTAAGAAAGAGGGTGCAGAGTAAAGACCCCACTGGACAAAGACCAGAGAACCCCTCCCCCGAGGCAGCTGTCTCTTGGGGCTTCTCTGAGCTAGCAGGGCACAAAGTCAAGTGGAAAAAAAATTGCTCATGATCCCTTTTCCTACCACTTATCTCAGTTTATAATTACACATTCATTAGTGTGACGATGTGATTAATATCTGTTTCCATCATCAGACTGTCAGCTCATCGGGGGTCCCGTTTTACTCTCTACTGTATGCCAGGCCCAAAGTGCCACTCGATAAATAATAACAACAACAAGACTGATCTAGTTATGACCGTGTGCCAGACGGTCTTCCAGGGCTTTGCAAGGATTATTACCGCATTTACTCCTCGTGGTGACTCGAGGAAGTAAATACTGCCATGAGCTCTTGTAAGGGTTGAACACACAGAGGCACAGAGAGGTCAAGCAAGTTGCTCAAGCTACAAAAGATGGAGCCAGGGTTTCACACCAGAAGTCCGTGCTCAGAGCTCACATTCTCAACCACGAATGGCACTTCCTCTACTTGGATGAAGAAGCGAATGCCCATCCCCAGCCGTCTCACGATGCTGAGTTCAGTGCATAAAGAAATGAAGAGAGGGGCGGGCCGGTGGCATGGTGATTAAGTTCGCAAGCTCTGCTATGGCGGCCAGGGTTTGTGGGTTCAGATCTCAGGCGCGGACCTACACACTGCTTGTCAAGCCATGCTGTGGCGGCATCTCACATACAAAATAGAGGAAGACGGGCACAGATGTTAGCTCAGGGCTAACCTTCCTCAAGTAGGGCCAATCTTCCTCATACACACACAAAAGATATGAAAAGAATAGACTGCCTACATATGCACCACTGAATCTGAGATAGGGCTCCACCCCAGCTAATCAAGAAAGGCTTATCCCCACGTTTCCTCAACTGGCAAAATGATCTCCTCAGGGGAACCGCTTTCAACCCTGGGACAATTTATCATTGTCAAAATATAGTTACAATTTCGTGTTTGTGTGTGTGTGTGTGTGTGGAAGATTTGCCCTGATTTAACATCCGTTGCCAACCCTCCTTTATCTTTGCTTGAGGAAGATTAGCCCTGAGCTAACATCCATGCCAATCTTCCTCCCCTTTGTGTGTGGGATGCCTCCACAGCACGGCTGATGAGTGGAGTCAGTCCACACCCGGGATCTGAACCCACGAACTCCTGCTGCCAAAGCGGAGTGCACGGAACTTTAACCACACTGCCTCAGGGCCAGCCCCCTGTCAAAATACAATTACAATTTATAATTATTATCCCAATGATAATGTTATAATATTTATATATAATAATATAATATGTTGTATTATATAAATATTGTTACATATATGTTATATTATAAAATTTGCAATATTTATACAATATAACATAATATATTGTATAAATATTATGTTACATATATGTAATATTATGAATGCTGTATATATAATATATTAATATATTTATGTAAATGTTATAATTTATTACATGTGATAATTATATGTACTTATATATCTAATTGTATTTATAATTTATAATTAAATATAGACATGTTTGGGAATATATTAATATATCATAATATAATATCTATAATATTATTAATATAATCTGTTGGTTATAATATAATCATATACTATACATAATACTAGTATAATATATAATATATATTATTCTATACAATTATAATTTATAATTAAATATAGAAACATTTAAGAAAATCAAACTCAGAACACCAGTACATTTGTATTCATGATCCAGTACAAATTCTGTGTTAAACATTTTTTTTTTCCTCCTCAAAGCCCCAGTATATGGTCATATATCCTAGTTGTAAGTTAAATATTTTAAAACATTTAAGAGATGTCGGCCTTTGGAGGTAACAGATCATGTTCGGCAATTCCCATGTAACTGAAGAACTCATTCAAGCTGTGATTTTGGGTTGAAACACACAGATGGATCTTCATAAGGGAGGAGTCTGGCCCTTCGGCCCGAGGGACTCGAGCACTTGAGTCGAAGGTCTTCATTCGCTGGTATCTGTTGGTGGTGTTGTTACTCCAGCTTCTACCAACCTGCTCACAACGATAAACGTGTTCTCCAAGACGATAGAAGCTTTCTCTGCAGCTCCCCTTGCTTCTTCCTGAGTCCTCAGAATTCCCTTTCCTGTCTATATTCCTGTCAACAGTCTCGTCAAGGCAATCTGGCTTTTTCTATCATGCACCTCAAAACGCCTCCAGTCTCTATTTATTCCCCAATTCCAAAGCCACGTCCACCTTTTTAGGTTTCTATTACAGCAGCACCCCATTACCAGGTACTAAAATCTCTGATGGCCTAGCGGTTAAAGTTCAGTGTGCTCTGCTTCGGCAGCCCAGGTTCGATTCCCCGGCACGGAACCGCACCACTTGTCTGTCAGTAGCCATGCTGTAGTGGCAGCTCAGGTAGAGAATCCACAACTATACACAACTATGTGCTGGGGCTTTGGGGGGAAAATGCAAGAAAAAAGAGGGGAGATTGGCAACAGATGTTAGCTTAGGGCTAATCTTCCCCTGCAAAAAAGAAACAAAAAGTAAAATAAAATCTCTATCAGTTTCTAGGCCTGCCATAACAAAATACCAAGACTGGGTGACTTAAACAATGGAAATACATTGTCTCAAGATTCTGGAGGCTGGAAGTCCAAGATCAAGGTGTCACTGGGTTGGTTCCTTCAGGGGCTGTGAGGGAGACTCTGTTCCAGGCCTCTCTCCTGGGCTTGAAGATGGGGTCTTCTCCCCGTGTCTCTTCACCTTGTCTTCCTCTGTACCTGTCCACCTTTCTGTCCCAATGGCTCTTTCTCATAAGGACTACAGTCATGTAGGATTAGGGTCCACTCTAATGACCTCACTTTCACTCGATTACCTCTGTGAAGACCCTTCTCGGAATAAGGTCACATTCTGAGGTCCTGGGAGTTGGGACTCCAGCATGTACTTTTGGGAAGGACAAGATTCAACCCACAATGGTGCTCATGTTCCAATCTGTTGAGGTTTCCATCGCTGCCTGTGGGTTCACTGACATGCTGAGAAGCATGCAGTGGGTTTCTGGAGAGGACAGGGGGTCACTTTTCTCTATCCCAGAACCTCCAGCCACATCACAAATGGACTCCAAACCAAAGTCGTTACGTTTCCAAACCTTTAATCCCAAATCAGACCCCAGCAAGGTCAGACTCAGATATTCTTCCCTCCCCTCCCCGTCCCCTACTTCCCAGAGTCTCAGATTAGTCGGAAGAAGTCTCTCCCACGAGGGAACTCATCCAGATGTAGGAAATGAACAGGTCCAACTCCCTCCCAAGACCCCCGCCCCCTCACTCCCTAGTTACCCCATCAGGTCCCTGCCAGCCTTCCCTGGGGACCCTCGTTTGCAAAAAGCCTCTGCCCACCCCAGCCCTGAGCGTCCCAAATTCAGCCACTGAGAAAAACATATTTACAGAGGGAAAAGATGAGGGCATGGGAGGGAGGTTTGTGCAAACAGTCTGGGTCCTGGAGCAGGAAGAACACAGTTTCTCCAGGACACGGGGCAAATGATTTCGAGTGGGGATGATGGAGAAAGGAAAAGAATTTGGAAGGAGCTTAGAGAAGGCACAATGGTGGCTCTAGGTGGCCCTGTGTCCCCACTTGGGACAGAGTGAGGCCCAGGGCCTGGGAGGCAGGGTGAGCAGGAGAAAGCAGCCGCCCCCTAGCAGCAGGACCAGGCTGGCCCCCACACCACAGCCCAGAGACCAGGAGTACTCGTAGGTCAGGGCTGGGGGCGGGGGAGGCTCGGGGCTGACTCTCTGCACCAGGGCATGCACGGAATGCCGGAACACCTCCAGGCTGACCAGCAGCAGCAGGCCTGTGGGGAGAGAAGGACAGAGTGTGATGCTCAGGCCCCTGGGGACCCCAATCTGGGTCTGAGCATCTCCCCCATAGACCCCATCACATGCTTGCTCAAAGAAGAAACCTGGGAGACCCCCTAGCACTCATTCCTTCAACAGCAGCTACCTACTAAACACCTACTATGTAGCAGGCACAGTTTTGGAAGCTGGAAATAAGGCAGGAACAAGACACAGATTGATAGAGACGAAAAGTAGAATGGCGGTTGCCAGGGGCTGAGAGTTGGTGTTTAACAAGGACGGAGTTTCAGTTGGGGAAGATGAAAAAGTTCTGGAGACGGATGGTGGTGATGGTTGCATAACAGTGTGAAGATACTTAATGCCGCTGAACTGGACACTCAAAAAGGGTTAGACGGTAAATTTTACATTATGTGTATTTTATCGCTTTAAAAAAGAAAGAAGCAAACCCAGGAATCAAGAATCACGAAAGTCGGGGACTGGCCCAGTGGCGCAGCAGTTAAGCGTGCATGTTCCACTTTGGCGACCTGGAGTTCACCAGTTTGGATGCTGGGTGCGGACATGGCACTGCTTGGCAAGCCATACTGTGGCAGGCATCCCACGTATAAAGTAGAGGAAGATGGGCACGGATGTTAGCTCAGGGCTAATCTTCCTCAGCAAAAGGAGGAGGATTGGCAGCAGATATTAGGTCAGGGCTAATCTTCCTCAAAAAAAAAAAAAAAGGAATCCCAAAAGTCAAATGAAGACTCCATCAAGGCTTTTGTAAAGAGTGATGGTGGAACCTAAAACAGTCAAACTCACAGAAGGAGAGAGCCAAATGGTGGTTGCCAGGGGCTGGGTGGGGGGAGGGAAACGGACGATGTTGGTCAAGGGTACAAAGTTTCACTTATGCAGATGAATGAGTTCTGGCGATCTAATATACAACATGGTGACTATAGTTAACAATACTGTGTTGCATACTTGAATGTTGCTAAGAGATTAGATCTTAAATGTTCTGACCACACACCAAAGAAGACAGCCATGCAAGGTGACGAATATGTTAGCTAGTTTGATTCTGCTGATCATTTCACGATGTATACATGTATCAAAACATCAAGTTTGTACACCATAAATATATACAATTTCTACTTGTTGATCATACCCAATAAAGCTAGAAAAAAGAGGGATGGTGGATCACAAAATGAAAAGAAAGGCAATCCAGTTGTAATACAATTTGATTTTTAAGAAAACAAGAGAAAAGAGATTGGGATCCAAGATGGCGCCGTGAGTAGTCCTCTTTGTCTCTCCCCCTTCGAGTCTACAATTATTTGGACACTCATCGCTTAACAAAGGATATCCAGACAGCATCTCAGGACGTCTGAGATACCCACATGACTATATATTGGAAGGCGGACGGACTTCCCTCCAGGAGGATGTGGAGATAGGTGAAAACTCTCCGACCCCGACCGAACAGCCTAGTACCTGCAAGCGGCTTTCTTCCAACGGACGCCCCCAGAAGATCAACACACACCTAGGGCAGGAGCGAGCACACACCAGAGGAGTGATGGTGGAAACAGATGACCAGAACCCTACCTAAACCCCCCTGCAATTACTCCTAAACGCAGAGGGAAACTCGAGTTACACACCTGAGCCCGCGGGGAGAGTCTTGCCCCACCATTGGTGGGGAGATCCCGCCTGGTGTCCACAGCGCCCAGGGGGTCCCAGAGAGAATCACAGAGGGTGTGGTGGCCCCCCAGCTGCCACTGCCTGCACGGTGGGGCAAGGGATTGCCGGAGATCTCAGAGAAGACTGGGTCTGGGTGAAGCCCCAGAGGCCAGCTCCATGCCCCAGAGGGGAAACTCCAGAGTTCCGCCCGGGCAGCAGACAAAACTCTCTGTCTGCCATTAGCGGAGGGGCTACGCCCAGCATCCACAACACCGGGAGCGTCCCGGAGAGGAGAATATCAGGCAGGGCAGCAGCTGACCAGCTACCACTGAAATCAGGATCTCCGGCTATGCCCCAGACAGGGCAAAGGGCTCCCCAAGTTCCTGGGGAACAGGACTGGGGCTGGGTGGAGTTCCAGCGACCCAGCTCCATAGCCTAGGGGGAAACCCTACAGGCTCACAGCAGCCTCAGGGAAAGCCTCTGCACAGCACTAGTAGAGAGCACCCATCCGGCAGCCACAAGGCTGGAAGACCCCGGGACAAAAGTAGTATAGTTAGGTGAGCTAACCACAGACTGTAGAAGATGCCAATAGCTCTGCTGCGACCCATAGTGGACAAGTGAGATTTTGTGGGTGCCGACAGTGATGGAGCGGCAAATATAGGTGATCCTACCCCTGGCCACTGGAAAAGCCCATAACACCGTTGCAGACCCCAAGGAGGGAGCACGTCTAGGTGGGCTGCAACAGCAGGCACCAGCAGCCTGAAGCCCCCCTGTGACGGCCCCCACGGCAGAAGAGGGAACCCAAAGGACCACTGTGACTACGAGGAGGGGCCTAGGCCCAGTTAGCAACTGCGGAGAGGGTTCCTGGTTGGTGCAGTATAAACAGCTGCTCCCCCACCACAGCAGCAGAAACAAGTGGAAGGAGCAAGTAAACTCTATCTCTATGCAGAGGCACAAATCAACAACATCAAGCAATATGAAAAAATACATTAAATCTCCAGAACAAAAGGAAAATAACAAATACACAGAAAACAATCCCAAAGAAAATGAGATATATAACCTAAATGATGATGACTTCAAAACAGCCATCATTAAAATACTCAATGAGTTAAGAGAGAATTCAGATAGACAACTCAACGAGTTCAGGAGCTGTGTCACAAAAGAGTTTGATACGATAAAGAGGAACCAAACAGAAATACTGGAAATGAAGAACACAATAGAGGAGATTAAGAAAAATCTAGATGCAGTGAACAGTAGGGCCGATAATATGGAGGAAAGAATTAGCAATTTGGAAGATGGGAATATAGAAATGCTTCAGGCAGAGGAGGAGAGAGAAGTAAGACTAAAAAGAAATGCAGAAACTCTCTGAGAATTATCAGACACAATTAGGAGATGCAACGTAAGGACTATAGCTATACCAGAGGGAGAAGAGAAGGAGAAAGGGGCAGAAAGCCTGTTCAAAGAAATAATGGCTGAGAACTTCCCAAATCTGGTGAGAGAGATGGATCTTCAGGTGACAGAAGCCAATAGATCTCCAAACTTTATCAATGCAAGACCAACCCCACAGCATATAGTAGTGAAGCTAGCAAAAGTCAACGACAAGGAGAAAATACTAAGGACAGCCAGGCAAAAGAAACTAACCTACAAAGGAACCCCCATCAGGCTATCAGCAGATTTCTCAGCAGAAACTTTACAGGCTAGAAGAGAGTGGAATGATATATTCAAAAATCTGAAGGACAAAAATCTACAGCCGAGAATTCTCTACCCAGCGAAAATATCCTTCAAATACGATGGAGAAATAAAAACTTTCCCAGGTAAACAAAAATTAAGGGAATTCATTGCCACAAAACCTCCTCTTCAGGAAATCCTCAGGAAAACCCTCATTCCTGAAAAATCCAAAAAAGGAAAGGGGCTACAAAACCAAGAGCAGAGGAGATAAGTAGAAGGACAACAACAGAGAGTAGCAGCTCTTCATCAGAACAGATGAAACCATGGGACGAGAAACAAAGGAAATTGAAGAAAACCGGAAAACAAGACACAAAATGGTAGTGGTAGGCCCCCACATCTCAATAATCACTCTAAATGTAAATGGATTGAACTCCCCAATCGAAAGACACAGAGTGGCAGGATGGATCAAAGAACAAGACCCAACAATATGCTGCCTGCAGGAAACACACCTCAGCCCCAAAGACAAACACAGACTCAGAGTGAAGGGATGGAGAACAATACTCCAAGCTAATAATGAACAAAAGAAAGCAGGTGTCGCTATACTAATATCAGACAAGGTAGACTTCAAAGCAAAACAGATAAAGAAAGACAAAGAGGGACAGTATATAATGATAAAAGGGACTCTCCACCAAGAAGACATAACACTTATAAATATATACGCACCCAACACAGGAGCACCAATATTTGTAAAGCAACTCTTAATAGAACTAAAAGAAGACATCAACAAAAATACAATAATACTAGGGGACCTCAACACACCATTAACACCAATGGACAGAACATCCAGACGGAAAAATCAACAAGGAAATAATAGAATTAAATGAAAAATTAGACCAGATGGACTTAAGAGATATATATAGAACACTTCATCCAAAAACAGCAGATTACACATTCTTCTCAAGTGCACATGGAACATTCTCAAGGATTGACCATATTTTGGGAACCAAAGCAAACATCAATAAATACAAGAGAGTTGAAATAATATCAAGCATCTTTTCTGATCATAATGCTATTAAACTAGAAATCAACTACAAGAAAAAAGCAGAGAAAGGGGCAAAAATGTGGAGACTAAACAACACGCTTCTCAACAAACAATGGATCATTGAAGAAATTAAAGAAGAAATCAAATTTTATCTGGAGACTAATGAAAATGAGAACACGACATACCAAATCATTTGGGATGCAGCAAAAGCAGTCCTAAGAGGGAAATTCATCACAATACAGGCTCACCTCACTAAACAAGAAAAAGCTCACATAAGCAACCTCAAACGACACCTAACAGAACTAGGAAAAGAAGAACAAACAAAGCCCAGAGTCAGTAGAAGGAGGGAAATAATAAAAATAAGAGCAGAAATAAATGATATTGAAACAAAAAAGACAATAGAAAGGATCAATGAAACAAAGAGTTGGTTCTTTGAAAAAATTAACAAAATCGACAAACCTTTAGCCAGACTCACCAAGAAAAGAAGAGAGAAATCGCAAATAAATAAAATTAGGAATGAGAGAGGAGAAATCACAACAGATACCAATGAAATACAGGGGATCATAAGAGAATACTATGAAAAACTATATGCCAACAAATTGAACAACCTGGAAGAAATGGACAAATTCCTAGACTCCTACAATCTCC